GGAGGGTCGGGATGTGGTCCGGGCAGGCCTAGGGCCGTGCTGGCCGGGTGGACTCCCCGGCCGGAGCTCTGCCCCGCGGCGGCAACGCTGGCAAGCCCAGCTGGAGCATCCCTGGGCACGCTGCCAGGCTGCATCCGTCTGGGGTCCATGTGAGGGGCTGCTACGGCCCCGACCCCCTGCGAAAGCCCTGCTGGTACGGGGGCCTGTCGCAGAACATTGCAGTCGGCTCCCGCCTCTGGATTTCATCTGACTGTAATCAGGAGATATAACCCAATTTCCAATAACGGGAGAGCTTCAGACACATTAGAGAAACAAGCGCCTGCGGTATTTCAGTCTAACGAAGGCAATAAATACAGGAAAGATTATATAAAATGAACTAATGTGTGAAATAATCTAATAGCTATACGTAATTTCCATTCATATACAGTAGTATTAGAAAAAAAACGCAAATGTGGACAGCTGACAGGGCGTTTAAAATAATTTAGAATGCACTAGGTTAATAATAAAAAAAAAATAGTATCCATGACTGTAAATTAGTCGCAAATACCAAAGAAGCTAATATAGTATCAAAATGGTAATTTTGTAATTGACATAACAAGGAGAGGAATGGATTTCTGCATGCCTGCAAATTAATACAGATTGCTGAAATTTCACACGTATTTGACTTATTTGCTTTTTAAGATGTTAATGAAATGTTGAGACAAAGGGTCTGTTTCTATGCAGCATAGGTCAGCTATTTTTTTCAATAGGTACACTTTTTTCTAAAAAAAAAAATTTTGGAGTTAAAACTGGCCAATATTTTTACTGAAAAAAAAAATCTAGGGAGAGCGTAAGAAGGCAGAGGGAAATTCTGGTATTTGCCAAGGTAGCTCATTTTAGTATACTTGAAACAAAACATTTTGTTTGATATTTCTGACATGTATTTTTGACTTGTCATGTCCTAAAGATACTACTCATAAAATTGACCTACATTTAAAAAAAAAAAAAAGGAAAATAAAGACTTTTTTCTGTAAGAAAGGAAAGGGACAGAAGGAGCTAATTGGAAGACAAAACGACAGGCGTTATTCTGAGGTGCATGAAACATTTGGGATTGATACAGAGCAAAAGTCTCAGTGAAGAACCTGCAGGGAAGGATCTGCTGCATTTCTGCAGTATTAGATGCTTGGCCATGAAACTGAAAAATGAATTATTTCCCACATTGTACTCTGCGGCACATTAAATCTAAATTATACCAGGATCTCAGATGCGCAGAACACTTAAGCGTGTGCTTAACTTTGCGCTCATGAGTGGCGACATTAAAGTCAATGGGCTATTATCCGCATGATTGAAGTTAAATGCTTTTCTGAGCTTGCAGCTTTTGCACAACAAATGCCTGCTCCGGAGAGGTCTAGGGCGAAGGCCGAGCGGGTCTGCGGGTCAGCTGGGAGTTTTCCGAGGGGACCGAAAGTGGGGGTCAGCCCTGTACCCCCCGGGGTCTGTAAGGGGATTGTTGGCTGAGCGGGTGGTTGGAGACACCACGAATCCTCCACGGGACTGTGCAGTTACCATCAGCAGGCATTGGAGGTACTTTCGCACATTTCTGCACGATACAAGGGAAGTTTTATGTGGCAGTGTCCAAAAGCAGAAAATACGCAGTCCTTTCAACAGCAATCCGATTTTTATTGTCAGGAGACCTTTGTGGAGATAGGAGTTAGCTAGACAGAAGTAAGGCCATGCTACTTCCAACCCTGTCATCTTGTGATAAATCAGAACCTTTTTTAAAATGCGTAGAGTCCGATGCACCTTACTTGACCT